TGCACAAAGTTTCCTGTGAGGGGTAGGTTTAGGGGTAGGGTTGGTGTAGGGCAACAGCACATACAGTTTGTACAGTATAAAAACCATTATGCCTTTGGAATGTCCCCATAAAACATGGAAACACAGCATGTGTGTGTGTGTGTGCGCGTGTGTGCGTGTGCGTGTGTGTGTGTGTGTGTGTGTGTGTGAGTGAGAGTGTGTGTTTGTGTTTGTGTGTGCATGTGCGTGTGTGTGTGTGTGACCTCGCAGGAGTGTATCTCGCATTCAGCAGTGAAAACAAAGTTTGAGCAGCACACAATCAGAGCAAAGCAGATCACAGAAACGGTCAAAGACGTCATGGATCAAATCAACATCGCCGCCGCGGACAAGAGGTGCGTCTGTTTCTCTTTATTTTTGGGATTATTGTAGCAGAAGGTCCAGTATCTACACCAGCAGAGCAGATTATTTTGAAGCGATTCGTCTCTGAGATGAATCCAAATGGTCATAACAGATATGATAAGTTCAGTTCTGAGTATGAAATCTGTATATTGGCTTGCCGTGTGACTGAAGTTGTCATGGCTCATGTAGTAAGGTGTTTTATGTCTGACCTCAGGGTGCTTTCTCTGGAGGAGAGAGAGTATCTGATTGACCGACTGGATTTCGTTCGCAATCAACTCAACCTGCTCATCCAGGACATCAAGAAGAAAATCGAGGCCATCACGGAGGAGGTGAAACACAAGGTAAAGCGGAGGAATCGACCGACTGCTCACTCTGAGGTTAAGACAATATAACTGCAGTAATATTTCCAGATGAACACTTACTTAATTTTTTTATACATCATGAACATCCTTGCTCCTTGTAGAGAGTCTTGCTATCATGTGACCCAAAGCCTCTCGCTGCTGTTTATGGGTAATCTGAACAGATTTAATGTTGTGTGAAGGGCTGGCTGTTTGGTTTGGTGAATGAACATCTTCCTGTGTTTGTGTTTCAGGTGTCGGATGCCATGGCAGAAGAGATCTGCCGTCTGTCTGTGCTCATAGACGAGTTTCGTGCAGACTTCGACCCGTCACCAGACGAGCTCAAAATCTATAAATCTGTGAGTGTCAGAATAGACCCATCACTTTATTCAACTGTTATGTGGTTGTCAATGGATGAGCAGAGTTGCAAAACCTCATTGGCTCAAAATCGATCCTACTTGATATAGCTGTATATAAAACTTAAAATAGAAAAGACAAAATTTTACACACAAACACAGATATATATATGTGTGTGTATATATATATATGTATGTTTATTATACTTTTTTAATTTTAAGATTATTCAATAAATATTATTTTCATTAAAATATAATGCGTGTATAAATATATATATATATGTATATATATATATTGATTATTATATAATTAGCAAAATACATAAAATATATATAAAAATTTTATATATACAATATTAAAATGTAATGTGTGTGTATATATGTAGTATTTTATTTATATTATTTTCATTTATTATTTAATATATATTTACAAATATAAATATATATTTGTATATATGTAGTATTTTATTTATATTATTTTCATATATATATATATATATTAATTAATTACATATTATATATCAATTATGTATTTTTAAAAATACATGTATACACATACATATAAAAAATACTATATTTTATAATAAATTTTAAATAATTTTCATATATTCAAATACAATACATTTCATATTATTAAATAAATATTATAAAATATGTAATATTACAGTTTTGTATCTAAAATATTAAATATAATATGTGTGTGTGTGTATATAAATTATTATTATTTTTTGCTTCATAAATTAATATCCCATTCAATACCTGATCTGATCTGTCTGTCTTCTGCAGGATCTTCTCAGCCACATCGAGAAGGGCATGGGCAAGAACCTGGCCTTCCGCTGTTCTGATGCCGTAAACGCCTCGGTTCAGTCGTCTCAGCAGGACATGATGGGTATGTGAGAACACCGTGACCTGCGTTTGATATTTAAACACCAGTAGGTAACACTCCTATTAATAGACAATGTCTGATAATGGGTGAAGTGTTGCTTAAGTGTGTTATCTGGCTCTCTGTAATACTCGATTGGTGCCAGTACGCTAAACCATAAAACCAATCGCTGTATGGACAGTTTTGCAATAGTATAGAGTGTGATAAATGAGTGTGTTTAGTTAAACTACCTGCTTATTGTGCTTCCAGAGTGTCTGAAGCCTCTGCTGCCCTCTGCTGTCCAGAGCCAGCTGCACATGCTCATTCCCTGCAGGAAGTTTGAGCTCAGCTACAACCTCAACTGTGCCACCCTTTGCTCAGACTTCCAGGAGAACATCGAGTTCCAGTTCTCTTTAGGCTGGACCGCGCTGGTCCACCGTTTCCTAGGTCCCGTCAACGCCAAACGTGCCTTGATGCTGGTGGATCAGAACCTACTGGTACATTAGAAATCTGCGTTTCCGATACATGGAGATGCTGGTGTGAACTAGGCTTCGCCGCGATAGACGGTGCTGACGGTGATACCGTTGTTAAGCCGCAACACCGGTTACGTCACTTGCCCACCGCAGCACTGACCCCCACCGTCGTTTAGATTTTTTTTAATAGTAATAAAAATCATTTAGTTCAGTAAAAGTACAGACACTACAATTAAAAACTGATCGCGGCTGCTCAATGCAGCTGAACGACAGTTGCATCACAGATCAGATTTCATTTATCCAGTGAGGAGAGTG